CTTCACCCCCGGCCCGAGCGGCCTCGCTGCGCTGCTCGCACACAAAAGGCGATCCCTGCTTCGGGACCTCCCTTATCGGCCTGTAATTAATTAAGTGTTTTCACTGGGGCCGTAAGTGTTAGTGAGGTGCGGGTAATTAAAATAATAAGACCTTGTTGCTGGTAGCATCGTTTGAATCTTAATTATTTGGCATCGGCGCTGTGAAACAACCACAGTACCTGGAAGAATTGCAGTATTGTTAAATCTTTTGGAAAAGGGGCCTGTAAGGAGTGCAGTTTTTTCCGCTTCCCGCTCTACTGAGGGAGCTCGCTCAGGTTTGAGCGCCGGAGAGTGGGAGAGCCGAGACCCGCCGGGATGAGCCCGGTGCGGGAGAGCCGAGACCCGCCGGGATGAGCCCTGGTCCGGGAGAGGCGGAACCCGGCCGGAGGAGCCGCTGTGCCGGCTGCGCTCCCCGGTACCCCCGGCACGGGAGGTCCCGGGCTCTCGGCCTCCTGTCACTGCTGGCACGTGTGTGACAGCGCTGCTTTGCTCCACCTTCCCGGACAGCCGCCTCTTTCCCGGGGCAAGGAAGGGAATATCTCCATCCCCAGGGCTTAGGCAGATCGCTGCAGGTAGTGCAGGACAGGGAGCGGAGGGTTTGTGATGTGCTCCCTGCCTGGGCAGCGGAGGAACGGGAGAGCCGGCAGCACCCGCTGCATCTCATCGCTTCCCACTGGTGCTGCCGTGCCGGTGTGCTGCTGCCTGTTGCCACTTGCGACCAGCTTGGAGTTAGGAACACAAAGGAGTGGCAGCGTATTTGTGTGTTTGGCCTGAAATGATAAAAATGAAAGTGTTGCTTTCAAAACAGGAGAGAGATTTTAAAAGGAAAAAAAAACCCCAAACCTATCAGGTTTCATTTTCTCTTGCTGCTATTTCTATGTGACTCCCAGTCCTGAATCTACCTGTCAGTGCATGTCATTGGAATTTTTGTTTGTCTGTGATTGAAATGGAAAACCAGAATGTTTTGGGATTTCTGCGTAGCTTAACTCAATAAACAGCATTTTTAATGAAATGCAGATTTGATTATTTTTCATCTCTTTATGTGTTCTGAAGGAAAGAAAAGGCAAAGTTAAGCATCAAGTACAGTAGTTTTCCATACAATTGGATGACTTGGCCTTCAGTAGCTAGAAAACAAATGAATAGCCTGTCCATTTTCTTATTTTTAGTTGCTACTGAAACATTGGTAATAACATGAAAAGAGAGTAGATGACTTTGATACTGGAGACCATCGTTTTTTGAAGTTCCACAGCAAGGGAAAAAGTCCTGTTTCTACCTAGTTAAGGGGAACACAGCATTTATAAGACTATTCAATAGCAGTACTAGCTAGAGAAATTTATGAGGGATTTAAGTAAGATTTTGTTGTTCTGAGATGCCAGTGAATAGATCATTCTAAACATTTGAAATAAAAGGTAATCTTTCTAGCTGTAGTTAAGTAGTTTCACTTGCAGAAGAGTTTTTACCTTTCCTGAATGTCTGTTTTTGTGTATTTCTTTAGCGTATTCTATAAAACCTTAGATCAGTGAGAATGCACCATGGCAATGGTCCTCAGAATGCT